TATTCCTCTCCCATCTTGGCTCCTCCCTCCAAAATCAACCTTCTACAGAGGCTTTCTATATGATCTAGAATCTCACAACATAATATTCAAAATTCTAGGATACAATAAAAAACTACTCAACATGCACACACAGAAGATAACCAATTTCAGAAGAAAATATAAGAAATAGATACCAATTGTACTGATGACACAGATGTTAGAATTAGTAAACGTACTTTGAATCAGCTATTATGACTATGTTCCATAAGGTAAACAAAAATACTTTTCAAATAAGTGGGAAGATAAAAATTCTCTGCAGGGAGTACGTTCCTGGCAGTCCCATGGTTAAGAACCCACCTGCCAATGCAGGAGACACGGGGTCATTCCCTGGTCTGGAGAATTCCACAGGCCATGGAACTAAGCCGTGCCCCACAGCCAGTGAGCCCAAACGCCTTACCTCCTGAAGCCTGCAAGCCACACTGCCTGTGCTCCCCAAGAGAAGCCCACACACCACAACCAGACAGCCCCAGCTGGTTGCAGCTAGAGAAAGCCTATGTGCAGCAAGAAAGACCCAGAGCAGCCAAAAACAAATCAGTGAATGAATAGATAATTTTTTAAAGTTCTCAGCAGACAAAAAGGAAATATAAAAAAGAGAAAAGGCTTAAAATGAAACAGTTATTCAGGGACCTCTGGGACAATATCAACAATATTTGTGTTACTCTGGAAAAAAAGATTGGTGCAGAAAAACATATTTGAAGAAATGATGGTCAAAACTTTTCAAATTTGGTGAAGACATCAATGTATAGACTTAAGAAGATTAGAAAATCTCAAACAAGACAAATTAAAAAAAAAAACTGTATCCAAACACATCATAATTAAACTGCTGAGAACCAAAGATGATAAAATATTCTGAACACAGCCACAGAAAAACAAGATAATGTTACATATAGGGGATCAGAGATTCAAATGACTACAAATTTCTCATCTGAAATCATGAGGGTCAGAAGGTAGAGAACACTGTTAAAAGTGCTGAAAAGTCTAAAAAGAAATGGGTATGCTTAAAAATACATGATTCTTTCAAAACTTCTACTAGATTCATTCAAGTCACAAGCTAATTTAAATGAGTCTGAAATCTGCCAAGCTATTGTATTTAAAATCTGGAGTTGTCCCATACCTGGATCTGGCAGCAGCTACGCAGTTTGGATGGTTGTCACGGATCACACCCTTTCCCATGGGGGTGGGCAGAAACGGCAATTTACACTGCTCCACCAACTTCCTGATACTCTCCTCTGCATGGGCATAAGCGGCACCTACAACAAATCCAAATGTATTGGACAAGGCAGTTAAGCTCCAGATACTTACAAAAGTTCACGTGAGACTGCTTTTAGAACTTCTCAAAGGTTCTCCTGCTCAGGGCTTAAACTCAAAACAAATGGCGACTTGTGGTTTTTTATCTTTGGTATTTTAAAATGCTTAAGAAGGCAATAGTTCTAATTCCTCCCTCCCCCCGGCCAAGTAACAGTATCAATTATTCTGAAGTACGTCTACCCACAAACAAACGTTGCACCTTCCACTCTCGCTGTTCTTAATTGTCGGTTCTGTGCTATGTCCCTCCTGAATTACTACTACTAACAATTACCCGAACATACACAGACGGGGAGGTACGGGCGGGAAAGCAAAGACTTTGCTCTGACAGCTAAAAGCAACCTCACACGTTGCTCCCCACCACCAGCCAACCAGGACTGCACATCGTCTAGTCTACGTGTAGAAATTCTAACAAGGGGCCTAAGTTTCTAAAGCTCTGTAGATCACTTCGTAGGTTCCATAATCCAGTGACTGCAATAGGACCAAACTCGAGGCGGTCACACCATTTGTTTATTTACAGTTATGTGCCTGCAGGAATAACCATGTCTTATACCCTCAATAGCACTGGAAACAACTCACTGTTTCAATACAGAAATGATTTTGTTTCTCATGTTACCAAGGCCGTCATTTTAGCTATTTAACTTTATGCTCTTTCTCAGAGTTAGTAAATATCACTCCACATCCAGAATTTACAATTCTCTGCTGAATCCAAGCAAATAGTATTCAATGTAATACTCAACCCTATAAAAAAACCTTACAATCTTTTCTCACCCATGCAGGATGAAAAATATTTCCTTTTTTTTTTTTCCAGAACACTTCCTTGTATTCTCCTTCTTGCCACAATATCTTGGTCCATTTGGTTCCCTCTTCCTGGACTGTCTGGGTTCTCTGTGTTCACTCTGTGACCAGTTACCCATGTCTTTTTCCACTGGGCAGCTACAGCATCATCTCTTCTGAATTGTTTTTCCACATCACCACACAAGAACGTTGTTGCTACCTCCCCTGAGAACCCACCTCAGTCCTCTACACACACCACACATACTGATGATCAGGTCTGTCTACCAGTTGTTGTTGCTGAGTTGTGTCCGACTCTTGTGACCCCATGGACTGTAACCCACTAGGCTCTTCTGTCATGGGATTCTCCAGGCAAGAATACTGGAGTGGGTTGCCATTTCCTTCTCCAGGGGACCTTCCCAACCCAGGGATCGAACCTGCATTGAAGGCAGATTCTTTAGTGTCTGAGACGTCAGGGAAGCAAATAATGGCAACAAGCTCTAAACAGAATCGACATTCTTTTGAAAGCCTAGCAAGATTTAGAGTTCCATTCAGTGCTACCTTTCCCAATGATGACAAGGGGCTGCTTGGCATCCCTAATAACAGACGCTGCCATGGATACAGCAGAGGTTTCTGCCATGCTAATAGGAGGTGGCATACAGCACTCCACATACCTGGAAATAAAGAGCTCTGTTAATTAAAGCAGGTCAATTTTTAAACTTTTTTACTGTGAAAATATCAAATACAAAAAAAGGTAGAAAAAAACCAGTATAATAAACTGCATATACCCACCCTGTAGATGCCACTACTAATATTTTACATTTGCTTCATCTGTACACACATAAACACACATACATTTCTTCCTAAGCCATTTTAAAGTAGATTATATCAGCAAGACTTAAGAACTAAAAGATAAAGACTTTTTCCTATATAACCATTATATCTATAAAATCTGGTAAATCAACATTTATTCCCTAAGAAGATCTAATAGCCAAATAAGCAATTCATTTACAGGAAAACAGAGCTAATGACTTTACAATGAAGTAGTAGTTATTGTGGTTGAAATAATTTAAAAATATACTAATTTAATATTTAATACTATGTGCCATGTATTTTCATTTAATTTTCAAAATAATAAGATTAGGTATTATCATTACATCCATTTCACTACTGTGGGGGGAAAAAAACAACTCCTCAGAAAGTAGGTAACTTGCCCAGGGTCCCTGGATGGCATGGGGCAACTAGGCTGAAGTAGGTTGTTCTGTCTCCAAAGTCCATGCTTCCACCTTTCTTACTATATTATCACTCACTAAGACCACATTTTAGTACCACAATATGCATTAGTAAAAGAAATATTAAAATGGTCATAGTTATTTCTAGACACCAAATCCTCAGTGTTTTATTTCATTTACCCTAATCGATAAACATCATACTGTACAAAACTTGGGCATATAATACCAAAAAAGGGCATTCAAGTCTTCACAAAAGTTGTAAACCCAATAATCTTATTTTGACCTTCATGTTCAGGAATTATAAGAAACTGACACCCTTTCTGTCTGACCGTCCCAATGGAAACCAGTACTTGGTATCCTGAGTGAAGAGAAATGCCCGCTGTCTCTCAGGAGTCACTGGAGGACCACCTAGTCCCTGACAGCAGAAATGTGCTAAATGGTACTCAGGGTGATGCATTAACCCAAGTACCCAACCTTACCAGTTTGTTGTACTTACTGTTCACTCAGCATTTATTTACAGAATAAGGGGACTTGGCAAATCATAGTAATATCCGGTGTTGAAATATTTTTATATCACAGAGACAAATTAAAATTTTTATGCTGAGTTATAGTAATTTTTCAATAGTCACTTCATCTCTTGATTTACACCAACCATGAAGACTCCAAATAACCATACTACATAAGGATTAAATTTTTATGGTTACTGGAAGAATAATTTCAAATGAGGAGTTTGGGAAGCTCCAAGTATTTGACTTAGTAATTAAACCCCAAGATAATTCTTAAATAATACAATTTTAAATAAGAGAATTAAGCCCTTTGGCCAGGATTCAGTTTAATCACCAAATCTGCAAAAGTTAAGACAAGTGAAAATTGTAACTTATAAGCTGCTAGGTAAATTCTTTTCAAAAGGTAAGTCTTATGGTAACATAATTGAGAAAGAACTCCAATTAACTATTACTCACTTTACAGAACTCACATTCACCTGGAGGTTCACAAAATCTGCAGGTATGTCGACATAGCAAGCACCTGGACGACCATAAAGACTGCTTCTCACTGCCTAAGTTCATTACAAATGGAAGAAAATATTTTAAAAATCTCAATCCAGTGCTCGCTACGGTAGCATATATACTAAAAATCTCAATCCTCATTATCACATCCTACTCAAAGATAATTTAAAATTGTGAAATAAATACTATTTAAAATTTTCTTGACATCCTTAGTTGATACAAAATCCTTAGAAATAAGCAATTTTAATTAAAATTGAAATGTACTCTATTGATTGTAAATTTTTGTTTCAAAGGAGAGAGATAAGAAAGTACTCACTTAGGGCTTTAAAATTCATTTTTCACTACACTTTAGTCCTAAAAATTATCTACTAGGTTCTGCCTGCCAAGGTTTTGTAACATGTACTTTAACCTAATTTCTAATCTTAATGATTTGCCAAAGATTTCAGAAATTGTGATGCTGTAACATGTGTCAAATGGTTTCTATAACACATGGCTTTTGAAACAGCTTAAATGTAACATCACACAGTTTATTAATACACTGCTTAATCAACTAAGAGATGGTCTTACATGCATTAGTACTAATTTTCAAAAATAACTGTACAGAAGTATAAGAGAAAGGGCAATCAGGGTTTCATTATATCTTTCTACTTTTCCATAATTAAAAAAAAATTAAAAACTAAAGTACAGGAAAAAATTCTTCTAAAAAATTTATTTTATCTAGTTCTTTAATTAAGGACAGTGAATATTAAAATGTACATAGCTATTTATCAATATCATTGTTTACTCTCTCTATTGAGAATAAAAGTAACACAGGTATAATCAACTGAGCAAAACCAGTGGACCTGGAGAGCTTGTAATTAACTACTGTACCTTTTCGATAATAGACGGAATAGCTTTTATGCTACTTGGCTGGGCTGAGAACTTGCTATATAATCTACAAGCTTCAACCTATAGGTGAAAAGAAAATCACTTAAAACTCAGCGCATGTATCATATTACTCTTCTAAAAGACGAAGAAATGTTAAGTCACTACATTCTATTATGTTTAGAGGCAAGATGGAGAAAAATGAATTATCTGGATTGTTTCTTAAAAGCCTATGCAAAGTACAACCAAACATCTGCCTTGGTACAATTCAGGAAGAAAATCAAAACAAGGCACCATTTTCATTTCTCAGACTGGCAAAAGTGAAAAAGTTAAGTAGTAACTGTCATAAACTGAGGTTTATGAGAATACAAATGGGGAGGGAAGTTGACAATGTCTCCTGAAAAGGTAAAAGAATATCCTTGGACCCAGAAATTCTACATCCAGGGATACACAACTTTATCTGCTATATCTCATTATAATAATAATCTATTTTTACATTTCTGCCAGTTTTCCAGTTATATGTTTTGCTGCCATGCTGTTTCACATAAATTCAGTAATGCTAATTTTTCATTGTTTAGTGTACTTTGAAGCATTATATAGAAACTGTTTCTCTTAATACTTTTTGATATAAAATCTATGGAACAGTTGGTAGTTTTAGCCCTGCAGGTGTGAGCAGGATTTTTCCTTTCAACTTTTCTCTTCCTCAAAGTCTGACAATCCCAAATCATTTTTATTCCTGCATTTTCTTGATTCTTTAAAGAACTTATTTTCAGAGTTTAAATTTCTGTCAAAAAGTTATCTTTCTTGGAAGATTGCTAAATAGATTCTAAGCTTTCTTAACACTCACATTGAGAGCTTCCTGTAGTTGAGGAAAATCACCTTTAAGCTATCTCAGGTATTTCTATTTTATGTGTTTACTTTGCAGATAGTTTTAATTTCTTCTCCATAAATCTTAATGGAGTATAATTATACTACAGAGGGAAGATCTTAGAGATGGGTACCTGAGGAAATTCCTGGAAGGCTCCCATTGTTTGCTGACTTCTTTCAGAGGAACCACCAATCACAATCAAGGGCCTGAAATTTTTTAAAAGAGAATTACAAGTGCCCAGTGAATAAAAAACACTCAGTGAATGTTAAAAAAAGAAAGAGAATTATATTTTCTCTTAGAAACTGTCAATTTAAAAAGATTTAGGAAACATCTTGGTCTGAGAAAACGCTTCCTTGATTTCAGAAAAATCTGAAATTTATAGTAAATATTTTTCCTCCATACCCCTCTCTCCCTTGCCTCTTCTGGATACTGATGCTAAACTAAACCTCTGGGTGTGATGATATAAAATGAATTGTTACGCTGGTTCTATTATTCTTGAGATTAAGAGAAGGAAAAAATTTTTTTCACACTTTCCTAACTAAGTCTATTTGGAAATGGCAGAATGATGAGAAAAATTCCTCAGCAATAAAATTCCCAGGGAGAATAAAAGATAGCAAAGCTAAAGTTACTTAAAAACTACCAGACACTGAAGTTGATAAGAAAGTGTAGGAAGAAAGCAAAGAAGGACCTGTAAGAAACACATGGCAAGAAAGAAAATAATGGCCTTAGGAAGGGAAATTTAAACAGTGTATCAACTGAACAGAATAGAGGCCCCTTGGGCTCCCCTGGTGGCTCAGTGGTAAAGAATCCTCCTGCCAATGCAGGAGACACAGGTTTGATCCCTAATCTAGGAAGATCCTGCATGTCAGGGAGCAGCTGAGCCTGTGTGCCGCAGCCACTGAGCCTGTGCTCTAGAGCCCGGGAGCTCCAACTACTGAGCAGATGTGCTGCAACTGCTGAATCCGCGCGCCCTAGAGCCTGTCCTCTCCAACAAGAGAAGCCTACGCAATGAGAAGCCCACCTACTACAGCTAGAGAATAGCCCCTGGTCACCACAACTACAGAGGAGCCCACATAGCAACAAACACAGCCAAAAATAAATAAATATAAATTAAATTATTAGAAGACAAAAAGACATAGCCCCTGTTAACATGATTGTACTGGTAAAGAATCAGAGATTAAGAACCAGGCTTAAGGGCAAGAGCAACTAATCTGTTTATATAGCCAACTCAATAAATATGATTTCAACTGTCCTGCTGGTTATGCAAGACAAGGTGAAAAATTAAATACATTCTTGCATATTGAGCTGGAATCTTTAATAAACAATTCTTCACTTAAAAAGACTTATACATACATTCACACACATATATAGATATGGAATATCCCCAAATATTAAGTGTTTTTCTCTAGGTTAAAGAATTATCGATGTTTTTTAATTTTCTTCCTAACACTCTTCTTAATTTTTCACTAAGTCATTTCCTCAAGCATATGACCCCCCCATCTTCCAACCACAGATCAGTGGTTCTCCACTGGATAAAATCATGTGTTGATATTTTCAAGAAAATGTTTTCAGTAATAATAATCTAATTACCAACAGTTCATGTTTGCATTTGCCATACCGCCCAAACTATGGATGAGACCGGGGCCAGAAACAACAAGGCAAACTCCTGGCCTAAAAGCAAAACAGAATTAATTATATTAAAAGCAGGTCAAATGCACTACTTGATTCATACCACTTTAGGGTGAAATGTAATTTTAGACTTCAAAGGAAGGATACATAGGTCTTTACTACAGCTGTAAAACAATTATTAGAATATTTTTGAATTAGTTTTTTAAAAAAAGGATCATATCAGTCTTCCTGCAAGACATAAGATTATTTACCATCCTCACACTGTATTTCACTAAACTTTTCATATTTTGCTCCTACTAAATTTGGGCTAAATCAAGGTGATTGCACACAGAAGCAAATTTTTGACTACTGAGCATACTTTTGTGTGGAAAAAAAGTGTTTTTTTAAAATTTCTTAACAAATAAATATATAATGCAAATTGGTCTTTGACAGAAAGTAATTCTAAAATGCAGAGTTCTGCCCCAATTTTTTAAGTTGAACTTGAATGCTTTACCCTAGATGACCGTCTAACCTTAAAGCACTGAAGAAAATGGTATCTCCATACAATTCAGCTTACTATTTTCAATTCATAAAGTAACTTCTTAGGAACCTCTATTTAAGACAGCCTTTAAATTGGTGCAGCCGCTATGAAAAACAATGTGGAGGCTCCTCAAAAAACTAAAAATAGAACTTTCATACAATCCATCAATTCCACCCTGGGTGTTTATCAAAGAAAACAAAAACACTAATTCCAAAAGATACATGTACCTAGGTTAATGCAGCACTATTTATAATAGTCAATATACAGAAGCAACATCACCGTCCATCCATGGGTGAATGGATAAAGAAGATGTGGTGTGTATACACACACACACACACACACACACACAATGAAATATTAGCAATAAAAAAGAATGAAATCTTTGTGGCAACATGGATAAACTTGGAGGATATTATGCTTAGTGAAATAAGTCAGAGAAAATCAAATACTATTATGATTTCACTTATATGTGGACTCTCAAAAACAAAACAATGTACAAAACAGAAACAGATTCACAGACACAGAGAACAAACTGGTGGCTGCTAGGGGGAAGACGGGTAGAGAAATGGATAAAATAGGTCAAAGGGATTAAGAGGTACAAACTGCCAGCTATAAAATAAGTAAGTCATTGGGATGAAATATACAGCACAGGGAACACAGGCAATAACATACATTGTATGTAACAACTTTGAATGGTAACAGATCGGAACTGGTTTTGCTGTGGTGACCATTTCATGATGTATAAAAATATCAAATCACTATGTTGGACACCTAAAACTAATTTAATACTATGTGTTAATTACAATTCAAGTTTAAAAAAGAAGCTGAAATAAACTAGACTTGCGCTTACCTGCCTGTCAGATATCCAACTGCAGAGGCAGCGTAGCAAGCCTACAAAGAAAAAACACTGGGACTTAAGCATTTTGGAACTTTTATAGTATTAAATCATATTAAGTAATAAGTATTATACATGTATAAAGTATGTATGTAATAATTTACCCTCAATAAGGGGAAAATGGAATATTTTCCATTTTAACAAGTAATCTTCTATCTGTACATTTCACATAATCACTTAAGTATCTAAATCTTATATTTAGTTTTTCAAGGAATTTGTCTGTATCATCTAGTTTATTCATAATATCATTTTATAATTGCTTAAACATCTGCAGGATCAATAGGAATACCCTCTTTTTTATTCTTAACACTGATAATTTGTGCTTTTTATGTTTTATTCTTCATCAGTCTTACTAGAGACTTACAAATTTATTGATCTTTTCAAAGACACAATTTTTGGATTTGTGGCTTTTTCTCTACTGTTTGTTTTCTCCTCCATTGATTTCCACTCTTGTGTTTATCATTTTACTACTTTCAGTTTGGATTTACTTTGGCTTCCTTTTTCTAGCTTCTTAAAATGCATGCTCGGAGCACTGATTTTTTTATCTTCTTTACTAAGAGATTCATTTAAAACTATTTCCTCTAAGAACTGCTTAGCTGTAGCTCACATGTTTGAGATCTCATTTTCTCATCATCATTCAATTCAAAATGTTTTCCATTTTCCATTGGGATTTCTTCTTCACCCCACTGGTTAGTTAGGGTCTGTGGTGACATCTGCATTTTCATCCCTGATACAGGTAATTTGTATTTTTTTCTCTTTTATTCCTAATCAGTCTGCTCTGAAGTTTATTGATTTTAATTAATCTTTCCAAATATTTACAATGTATTGAATTTTCAAATGTTTGGGGATTTTCCATCTTCCTATTATTAAATTCCAGTTTATTTCCACAAGGTCCAGTCACACACACTGTATATTTTCAATCCTTGCTTGGAGATTGATGGAAATTTTCTTTATGGCCTTCATATGGTTAGTTTTTATTTTTAAACTGCGCTTCAGTTCATTACAGAAAGAGGGGGAAGGTGCTAAACACAAGATAACCTGGGAAAATGCTAAATGCCCTTTAAGAAGAAATGAGACGGGGTTGACAAAACGTCCTAACTTCCTTTCTTGGACTTCCAAATAAGCCTCTAAGAAGGGTGGCAATGTGATGAGGTGGAATGAGCACTGGCCTGGGTCTTGGGACATCTCTGGAGTTCAATCATGGCTTTATCATTTGTGATGCCTGTCACCTTGCAGAGCCACCTACTACACAACCTGAGACGTGACCTTTCCCCATTCATGTTGCAGGTACTATCATGGGCAGGCCCCACGGATAAACTGGGGATACAGATGTGCGAAGAAGAAATATGTATTTGGGACCCCCTGGAACTCACAGACTAATAGGGAAGTCAGATGAGGCAAATAATACACAGAAACAGACACATAACAATAGCTAGTTATAGGAATGAAGCACAGGGGGCCAGGTAAGTATCAGACCAAGTAAGTGTCCCTTCCGATTCTGGCACTCTAAAGACTTGGCAGAGTTCCATACTGTGTAGTTGTAACAGCAAGGACTCCAGAGCCAGAACACCTGGGTTCAAAGCCTGACTCCGCCAATACCAGCTGTTTCCTTGAGCAAATTTCTTCACTTCTCTGTGGGGGGGCGGGGGGCGGGGGGGTCTCTCTTTTATGAATTTTACTTTACATTTATTTATTTTTAACTGGGGCCTCACTGTTCTCATCTGCAGCGACGATTAACAATCGGTCTTGCCTTCCAGGAGCGTTGTGATTGATAAGCGTAAAGTATTAGAGGAGTGAGCGGTAAGCAGCGACTGTCTGCAATGAATTATCTGTCATCACTGTTACTCATCCCCGAGAACGCGCTGGGCTTTGAGTCCATACTTACTGCCTGCTCATTCCTCATCCCGATGTATCTGATGCCCACCTCCTGCGCAGCAAGGGCGATTTCAGTCACCGGGATGCCTACGATGCCGAACATGTAATTCACGTCCTGGGGGGCGGCCAAAAGCAGAGGAATAAGGCCGGCATCCCAGCCCGCCCATGCGAGGCGGTAAAAAAAGAAAACCTTCCGCAAACATCCCTTCTGCCCACCTCCCCACTCCCGCTGCTTTCCCGTTTCCAAGACAACGCGGCGGCCCCGTCGGCTTCCGTAGGGCTCTCTGCAGCGGGCAGGCCTCACACCTGGGTTTTCAGGGCCTGGGCGATGACTTGCGCGCCGGACACCTGCCCCTCGAGTCCGTCACTGCGCGCCGCCAGGTTACTTTCCGACATCTCCCACCACAGCGGACAGCAGGCTAGCGCGGAATCACCCTGTCAAGCCAGCCCCTGAGGACACCAACCGTGAGGCCGCTCCTCTGAGGGAGGAGGGGAGCCACAGGCACCTTTAAGGAGGGGAGAGGGGCGGGGCTGCAGCCAGCCCACTGGCGCTGAGGTGACGGGTAAACACGCTCTCTCCTGTCAGGGCCGGCCCTTCTCTCCGGCCCGCCCCTCACGGAACTCGGGGAGCGTCTGGAGGAGGCGGAGGCGTCAGCCGAGCTCGTGAGAGGTGGGCCGGCGGTGGAGTCTGGGGCCTCAGCCCATGACCTTGAGCCTTTTAGGGACGCGGGAGGGGCGGGTGGCGCCTGCGCAGAGCCTGGGCGGAAGCGGGGTTAGGAGCGCGGCCGCGGCAGAAGGGGGCGTGGCGCGCGCTCACGGCCCCGCCCCACAGCCTTTTCGGAACCCGGCGGGGCGAGTGTCGCCTGCGCAGAGCTGGACGGAAGGTGGGCCGCGGCGGCGCCGTCGCAGAAGGGGGCGTGGCTCCGGGGGCTGCGCGCGGGTTTTGCTGGGAAGCGAGCGGTGGGATGGCGCCGGATGTTGGTCGAGGCGGGCCTTTTTTTGTGTTGTGTGGTTTTGTTCCCGCGTCCCGTTGTATTCTAGGCTTTGACGTACACGCTTATTTGATGGATACGTTCGTAACTTTGCAATCCGTGAAGATAAACGCCAACTAATTAAATCCGTAAGCGGATGAGTACTCTTAAGTGTTTTAAAGCAGTAAAACTAGTAATATGTGGGAAGGAAAGAAACCAGAGAAGCTTCCCAGGTGGCACTAGTGGTAAAGAACCTCCTGCCCATGCAGGAGACAGAAGAGAGGGGTTTGACCCCTGGGTGGGGAAGATCCCCTGGAGGAGGGCAGGGCGATATACACTCCAGTACTCTTGCCTGGAGAATCCCCATGGACAGAGGAGCCTGACGGGCTACAGCCCATGGGGACGCAAAGAGCTGGACACAACTGAGCGACTTAAAACACGCAAAGAAACCGGAAGCGAGGAGAGTGGGTCCTGGTTAGTGAAATGAATGAAAAACTTTGGAAATGAAAGAATTCCTAAACTCATTGAGCCCTTTGAAAAAGGTTTCTCCTCGCATTTCAAGTCCTAACTCCCACTCTAAGCAAAGGAATGAGAATGGCTGCCTCTTTGGGTATGGGGACCTAGCCTAAGGTAGCCCATCTAAGAGGAAGATTTCTTTAAAGCTTTAGAGTTCATCTAAAAAATAAATGCAAATCTTGCATTGTATTCCAGAATCTATCCATATTTTAATATAAAAGTGATCTTTTTAATTGAGGTAAACATACATTTAAATGTACAGATCTTAAATGAGTTTTGACATCTGTAGCCACCAAAATACAATTGATGTTTTAAAATACCCATGAAAGCTGGCATTCCAGAAAGATGCCGACTTTGAACACAAAATATTGTTTGTCTTTGAATAATCCTTGGCACAATGTTCCTTGCCCCTGTTTGATAAGCATAGACCCTTCATCTCTCTGTCATGTGGGATTGTTTCTGTCAGTACCTATGTGACAGTTTCTACTCCCAAGCATTAGAATCGCTTGGAAAGCCTTTTATAATTTTATTTTTAAAAAATACTTATTTATTTTTGGCTGTGTCAGGTCTTGGTTGCGGCATGAAGTCTCCTTGTGGGCGTGTGGGCTTCTCTCTAGTTACCGCAGGAGGGCTCAGTAATTGTGGCTTGAAGGCTTAGTTGCCCAGCAGTGTGTGGGATCTTGGGCTTCCCAGGTGGGGCTAGTGGTAAAGAACCTGACTGCCAATGAGGGAATGTAAGAGATCTGGGTTCGATCCCTGGGTCAGGAAGATCCCCTGGAGGAGGGCATGGCAACTCACTCCAGTATTCTTGCCTGGAGAATCCCATGGACAGAGGAGTCTGGCGGGCTATAGTCCATAGGGTCACAAAGAATGAAGTGACATAGCACACAGTCAAGCATGTGGGATCTTAGTTGCCCAACCAGGAAGTATTCTTAATCACTGGACCACCAGGGAAGTTCCTGCAAAGCTTTTTAAATATAGAGTTTCTTGGGCCTACCCCACATCTTCTGAATCAGCATCTTAGGACAAATTAGGCACCTGTGTTTTTTTTAAAGCTGCTATCTAAATTTGATTTGCAGGCTGACTTGAGAAGCACCAGCTCCGTGCTCATGCTGGATGCATGAGTTAATAATTAAATATGTGCTTGCCTGTTATGAAATACTGATCCTTAATTTGGATTTATGGGTTCAAGGCTAGGTTGACATTAATAGCACAGACTGTGTAGGTCATGGTCAGTCAGTTCATGAGGACTTGGGTTCACTGATGTCCCAAAAGAATCACTGACAGAATCACTCAGTATATAGTGTGAAAACTGAACTATGAGTTGGAACAAATCCCCTGAATTCAGATTAATGCATTGTGCAAAAGGATAAATTCGCAAGTGACTAGACTCTGCCCTGTAGCAGGGGGAGAAGTCGATAAGACTGTTGCCACTTGGTTCACCTTTACACCTTTGAGTACATGGCGTAACGTTCCACGGTGAACTTGGGTCTGATGATTCAGCAGAAGTACTGAGAGTCTCCCTCCAAGATTTACAGGCCCTTGGAGCAACTGCCTTCAATCCAATGGCAGTGAGTGGATTCCAAGATTCTTTAGTAACTTATCCAAGGCCTGTATGCAGACATGGGAAGCATTAACCATGTTCTTTATTATTTAAATTGGTGGTAGGCATGGAATTTTATTTGTTGAATATTTGATTGAAATTTTGTTTGTTTTGCCTTGTTTATTGGTGGAAGGAGGCCAAAGGAGGAGTAAGTCTAGTTTGTTTTCTGAAAGAAAAGGCTGGAGGAATGATAACATGCTCTCCAAAGAGCAGGGTCAGTCATCAGAGTTTTCATACTGGTCACTCTGTTTGTGAGTTCTAGACCTGAGATCCTGCACTGTGGGTGGCTTCTTCACCACTGAGCCACCGGGGAAGCCCAGTAACTTCTTAGGCCCCAGAATTATGATACTGTGTCTTAGTTTCAGCAAACTAACAAGGACACTGAAAATCCATGTGATTATTGGAAAGCATAACACTAACTGAACCTGTAAGAAATATTCTTGTAGGCTTATTTTGTCAAAATGTGAAGTGTTTGGTTATTGCATGAAGAAATGCATTGGGATTATTTATGATGCATTATAGAATGGCTGAAAATAAAATAAAATTGGCTGAAACAGAGGAGAAGCTGAAACTGAGTGTCTTAAATACAAACAAAAGCAACAACAACCCAAAAGGAAGTCTATGTAGAACACTATTTTTTAAACCAAACTTGAAAACTGTATGGCAAATGGTTCTTTGAAGAAAGCAGGTTAAATTAATTTTGTTTGCTTCTCATTAAGCTTATGAGCTGTACCTAATCTCAGAAATAGGTCTGAAGTGAAGCCAGTGAGAAGCAACTTCATTATTGAACCAGCAGGGCCAGATTTAATGGCTGTTACTGGCAGACAGGGACTGGGAGTTTCTCCAGTTACTGTGTAACCTAGAGAATGGTTGGATCCCTGCCCTTGGCCTGCAGGCTCTTCACCTTTGCTTTGCTTTTTAATGCCAGTGAGACTCAGCAAGACCCAGAACTGGAGTGGAAGCACTCTGGGGCAGAAACTGAAGGAGCTTTGTTTTCATCCGCCGTGTGCTTTTTCTGTTTTGTTTTTTAAAGCAAATATGGGATTTGACATCAGCAATTATTAGATCACTGATAAGGTGTCTATTTTGGGAAAATGCACCAGAAATGGTGACAACTATAGGTCATGCTGCGAGGACATAAGTGATTTATTTCAAATGGCTTAGAAGTCATAATATAGAATGTCTCCATATGCTAGAACTCCACAGTTGGGCTAGGGGTTCAGCAGCCATCACCTGTGAAACATGGTTATCAGTGTTTAAATGTTTTCTGTTTTCATTTGTTTCTTGTTTTACCACCAGCCTTCATTTGAGCCCCTTCCTTTCACTGTTTGTATTGTATCGTAGTTTTTAAAACTTTTATTTCATTTGTTTGTTTGGCTATGCCAGGTCTGAGGTGCGCTACATGGGATCTCTGATCTTCCTGCGGCATGTGGGGTCTGGTTCCCTGACCAAGGATTGAACCCAGGCGCTCTGCATTGGGAGCACAGAGTCTTAGCCCCTGGACCACCAGGGAAGTCCCTGTATGGTTTTGTTTTGCTTCTAATCTAGTCTGTGTCAGCTCCAGGGTAAACTGAATGATTCCCAGGGTTTGGAGTTGAACTGAGGTATAAGCCAGGGTGAGGGACATCTTCATGATGAGGAACGCAAGCCCTTGAACTTTTTTCTGCATCATGACCTTTGAGTTTCTGTTTGGAGCTTAGCTGTGACATATTGTTTTATTCCCTTTCTTTTTTATACATTTATAATTTATATTATTTTATATGTTTTATATATCTATAGATACTTAATGTCATTTATGACATCTTTCAGACACATGAATAAGAACAGTACACCCATGAGCCACCGGGGAAGCCCAGTAACTTCTTAGGCCCCAGAATTATGATACTGTGTCTTAGTTTCAGCAAACTAACAAGGACACTGAAAATCCATGTGATTATTGGAAAGCATAACACTAACTGAACCTGTAAGAAATATTCTTGTAGGCTTATTTTGTCAAAATGTGAAGTGTTTGGTTATTGCATGAAGAAATGCATTGGGATTATTTATGATGCATTATAGAATGGCTGAAAATAAAATAAAATTGGCTGAAACAGAGGAGAAGCTGAAACTGAGTGTCTTAAATACAAACAAAAGCAACAACAACCCAAAAGGAAGTCTATGTAGAACACTATTTTTTAAACCAAACTTGAAAACTGTACGGCAAATGGTTCTTTGAAGAAAGCAGGTTAAATTAATTTTGTTTGCTTCTCATTAAGCTTATGAGCTGTACCTAATCTCAGAAATAGGTCTGAAGTGAAGCCAGTGAGAAGCAACTTCATTATTGAACCAGCAGGGCCAGATTTAATGGCTGTTACTGGCAGACAGGGACTGGGAGTTTCTCCAGTTACTGTGTAACCTAGAGAATGGTTGGATCCCTGCCCTTGGCCTGCAGGCTCTTCACCTTTGCTTTGCTTTTTAATGCCAGTGAGACTCAGCAAGACCCAGAACTGGAGTGGAAGCACTCTGGGGCAGAAACTGAAGGAGCTTTGTTTTCATCCGCCGTGTGCTTTTTCTGTTTTGTTTTTTAAAGCAAATATGGGATTTGACATCAGCAATTATTAGATCACTGATAAGGTGTCTATTTTGGGAAAATGCACCAGAAATGGTGACAACTATAGGTCATGCTGC